CAAGCAGGACCTGCCTTTCATAAACCCATGCTAACTGGGCCTGATTACCTGGTTGTCCTGTACATGCCCGCATGATGGCGCTCAAGATAATCTGCTCCATAACCTTCCCCAGCACCGAGGTCAGACTGACAGGCCTGTAGTTGCCCGGATCCTCCTTATGGCCCTTCTTGTAGATGGGCGTCACATTCACTAACCTCCAGTCAGCTGGGACCTCCCCGGTTAGCCAGGACTGCTGATAAAGGATTGAGTGTGCCTCGGTGAGCACCTCTGCCAGCTCCCTCAGTACCCTTGGTGGATCCCATCCGGCCCCATAGACCTGTGTGTGTCTAAGTGGTGCAGCAGGTCGCTAACCATTTCCCCTTGGATTACGGGGGCTTCATTCTGCTCCCCGTCCCTGTCTTCCAGCTCAGGGGGCTGGGTACCCAGAGAACAACTGGTCTTACTATTAAAGACTGAAGCAAAGGCGGCTTAGTGTAATACACAGTAGTCATAAGCCGATCTGTTTCAAGTGCTTCACTTACAAGTCCCAGTATCAGTCCCGAGAATAGAGTTGCCAATGCAAAAACAGCGTATGAGCCCCAGACGGGTATTCCAACATTTTCTGTTAAATAACCATGGCAGTGCTGGAATAAAAGACAAGAGAATCATTTCAAGAATAGCTGAATATCGTGAATATCATGTAAAGATTAAATAAAGTAGAGACCTAAGCACTTACCCTGATCCACATCGACAACTGAAACAAAGCTGACATACTGCTCATCCTGAAACAAAGCAGAAAAAAGTAACAGAAAACATCTTTAAGCCAGTCACAAACATCTTTAAACCATCCAGAAAACATCTTTAAACCAGGTCACATACCTGTGACCTGAATTGCCTGACTGGTCATTATTTAGTCCCATGTTGAACAACTTTCTGCTCATGTCTGGTTTCCCTTCTAACTACTTTGATTTTTATCTTCTGTTTTGTCTTTTACTTCAATAAACACTCATTTTCCATGAAGCTACCTTCGGTACCGACATCGGCTTGTATGATGTTCCACATACGGACAACTACGAATTCACAAACTTCCTTGACTTGGATCTGCTGACATATGAATTTCAGTTACTTTTGTTTATGTTCTAAGTTATATTTGGACCAACAGCCTACGAGAAGCCAGCTGGAACTCTATTCAAGATATTAAGAATTAGGCACCTGGAGATTTTATTAAAACAAAAAATTAACCTATTAAAAAAAATCAGGTTATGTAAGAACTGAGAGATCTTCAGACGCTTAAGTTTAGCCGTATTTTACACGCAAGTGAAAAAGACCAGGCTATCTGCCACGTATATCCTGCAGATTCTGACATTTCCCTGTTATTGTGGAACTTCAGCATTAAGTATTCACTTTCTGTAAAGGAAAGGAGAGTTTGAAACATTAAGCCAACCTAAGTTGCTAATGAGTGAGCCGTAGAAGCCGCCCGCATACTGTTTCAGTACGCACAAAAGACGGAGCTGGTATTCCACGCTTCTAATAGAAAACTTATTAATCCTAAGATTAGTACCCCGTTTCACACATTCCTTGGTGTGGGCCAGTACTTTGTAGGAGGTCAACCACACCGTTTGAAGATTCAAATAGCATTGCGAGCAGACAAAGTAACAATGCTGAGCTTCCTAGAAGAGCCACCAAAAAAAATTTAAGATTTCAGTCTAGCATAACACTTCATAAACCGAACGCTGCTACAGCACGGTACACTTAGCACAGAGGTGTTTCAGCCATCACTGCTCTAACAGAAGAAAACCCACGAACAACTGGGTTCATTTGCCTCGGCCAATGGCGTCCCCAACATGCTGTATCACTCAGTTACCCGACTACTCTGAAACCACCACACAGCACGTGCAGCCACAACTAAAAGCACTTCGAAGCCACAAAACTAGAAAGAATTCCAAAGAGCATGTTTCTTCTCAGACTACAGTCTCCCCACTTCACTCATCCTTCAACAAAGCAACCTTCGCCCTTCCAATCTGCTTTTGACTTTGCTACGGATACGTCTTCTTAAATGGCCGGCCCAGATCTTACAACGATGTTCCTACATTATTTTCCAGTTTTTATCGCTAATTTCCTAGAATTGAGCTGGACAAAACATCTTTCTGCTGTATAACCAGAAGAAGAACTTCAAGTGTCAGTAAGTTACCTACAAGAGTTTAGTAAAACAACACACCCACCTATAACTATTGAAGCCTTAAAGCAAACCTTGCTCGGGACATCTTTGCTGTGCTAGTGCACACAATCCTGCCACAGCTGGCGAAGGAGGCACCCCCCCATCACGTTCGCATACTTCGTACCAGCACCGAGCTGCTGCACGAGCTGTTAACAAGGAAGCAGCACCAGGCGCGGCACACCTAAGGACCTGTCCCGGCACGTCCTTAAAGTGTGCGTGTCTGACAACAAATTGTTATAAAAATCATACCAAAACTTACAGGAAAGAGGAAGGGCCAAACCACGATGAAACCGGTTCAATAGATTTCCATTCCTGGTCACTGATGAAATTTATGAAATCAGTTTTAGTTCTTGCACCCTGGTATCTCCTAAACTCTCCATCTTTACAGCTGCAAAACAAACAAAAAAAGTCCTTTCTTTTAGACAGCCCAAGCATGCAGCATTTGCTTCCATTTAACGTCTTCCCCCCATCCCCTTGCTTTTTTTTTTTTCCAGTTTTACTTTGCTTTAGATGATATTGGTTCTAAAATGTTTTCCAAAAATCTTGACTGCACGTGTATCTTGGCTAGCTTTAGGTTGCGATTCCATAAAAAGATAATGATCTTCCTAATGCACTTGCCACACAACTGTATTAAGATCAACTACAGAGAAAAGATTGCAAAACAGAAACACCCGTGAAGAGGTAGAATAAATAAGGCCTGAAGGGAAAAGAAAAGAAACACAACTGGCAGTACTGTAAGGTCACAGCAGGTAAAACAGTGGCTGTCTCTGTGTAAAGTAACTCACGTTCCTAAAGAGCGTGGTAAATCTCATTCATTTGCCCCCCCCAAAAAGGGAAAAAAAAAAAAGTCCTCTCTCCTCCAAAAACCCTGCTCCATTGCATACTTACTGATAGATGGTAGGAAGAGCTGTTATGATAAATCGTCCACTTAATCCTGTAAGAAAACAGTTATTTTCAGAATAGTAGAGCACTCTTATGTAAGAAAAGGCAAGAAATGTTATTATACCCTGAAATAAAAACAGCTGCTCCCAGGTAGCAATCTTTAATTGTGATCAAACACAAACTTGTGCATATCAAAGTGCTGCACACAGTCTAAAAGAAGAGCTCCTGGACAAAGAGCGAGAAAATCTCTCCATGGGGGAAAAAGAGATGTCCGGAGATAACCGTTCTACTTGACTATTTTGGCTGTAGCTCTCCAGAGAGATGCTCTCTTCTTTTCCCACGTGATCTGCAACCTCCGGTGCTTGCAGAAAACAATCCAAGCGAGGCAAGTTTCAAAAGTTCCTCTGCGACTTTGGAGAGCAGCACTGGCACGGACAAGGTCGTTTTTACAAATCCCCCCACAGACAGGAGGGCAGTTCAGAGAAGCGAGCTTCAGCTGAGGGCGACCTGACTGCCTGCGCTCCCTTTCGCCAGCAAAGGGAGGTACTGCTACAGGGGAGGCTGAAACCACATTTTTTTTGCTCTGTAGGACGCTTAAAAAGTAAGGTCAAATATCTCCTTGAAATCCTCCGAGCCACTTTCTAGAGAAACCTTCTTATTTCCTCCATGCATTAAGAAAGACCGGACTGCTTAGTCTACGCACAGCAACCTGCCTTCAGAAGAGATCAGGAAAAGGTCTTTACTATTCCTACCGATTCTGTATATTTTCTAGAAGCACATACGCTTGCAGCGAACACCTTCCCCGAGCGCTGGGCAGCCCAACGCCCCGGGGAGAGCGTTCGGAGCGCGCAGCCGCCCCCGCCAGACTCTCACCCGGCTGCTCCGTGACATCCACCTTGGCGATGTTCACTTCCAGGTCCTCGCCCCACTCGGCGAACTTCTCCCACTCGGGCTGCAGGTTCTGGCAGGCGGGGCACCAAGGGGCATAG